CTTTTTGCCGTTGGTTCACTCTCCAATGGCCGCCGCAGAGGCCGCACCGGCGCACCACGCTGATCCGATGGCAGGAGCCAGGTACTTATCCTGGTCTCCCATGGGGTGCAGGGCCCAAGCACTTGGGCCATCCTCCACTGCCTTCCTGGACCACAGCAGAGAGCTGGCCTGGAAGAGGGGCAACCGGGACAGAATCCGGCGCCCCGACCAGGACTAGAATCCGGTGTGCCAGCGCCGCAAGGCGGAGGATTAGCCTAGTGAGCCGCGGTGCCGACCTGCAAATCTCTTTAATAATGCATAGATTAATAGATTCAGGCCAAATTCCCATCTCTACTTCTACATCCAGTGTATTGCTACATCACACATTATGTGGCCGCTGGAAAAGTCCACCACAGCGTTGAGAGAGTCATCGTGACCGAGTAAGTCACCTGGAGTCCCGGTATTATCACAAAAACCATTTCCCTCGCCAAGACTCTGAGCAAGGGTCACAAGGACCCTCTGGGGTCACTAGACAACACAGTAAAAAAATGCAGCCCTTAGCTCCTTACATCAATAGCTCTCAACATAGACTCCACTGTAACACATAATAGTTCTCTCGGGCACATTTTCAACTGAGGTCTTCAGAAACTAAATAAGAAAGAAAAAAAAAAAAGCATATTTTTGACCCTTACATTTAAAACTACATCATCCAGCAACACTCCTGGAGACCTGCCGACCTGCCTCTGGTTTTAACAGTGTTGGAACCCAACAGGTGCTGAATTCTCCCTCTTCCAACCTCCCACGGCCCTCAGGTCTCTCCAGGGGCAACTTCCGGGACCACTTCTTGCCCATGCCCTGCTTCTGGGACCAACTGACACCTTTTTTTATTTTATTTTATTTATTTATTATTATTTATTTTTTGTGGTTCCGTCCTTGTCTCTGGCCAAGCATGCCCGCCCAGATTACTCTGCAGTACTGCACCGAGGTGGAGGCTACCTCAGCTGCCAGGCCAATTCACATCCGCGTGCCTCCGATTCTTACCTCTCTCTGGGCTTGTATTTCCAGCGCGACCAAGTGGCTGTGGAGATGCGGGCCACCTCCTCAGCGAGTTGGTCGAGGACACGCGTGAGGGCATCCAGTGTCTCTCGAAGAAGCAAAACCAGCATTGGTAGCCGCGCCCTCTTCCGGGTCGCGCAGAAGCCGTCGCAGGGTGAGTGGGGCGAAACCATAGGGGCCTTGGAAGCCTGCAGGGCTCTGGAGAAGAACCTGAACCAGGCCCTTTGGGATCTGCCTGCAAACACCTTCATCTCTGTGACTTCCTGTCGAGCCACTCCCGGGAAGAGGAGGAGGTGAAACTCCTCAAAGAGGGCGAGCGGCCAGCGCTGTGGCCTAGCAGATACAGCAGCTGCAAGCAGCTGCCTGTGGTGTCGGCATCCCACACGGGTGCTGGTTTCAGTCCTGGCAGCTTCACTTCCGATCCAGCTCTCTGCTATGGCCTGAAAAAGCAGTGGAAGATGGCCCAAGTGCTTGGGCCCCTGCACTGGCATGGGAAACCTGGAAAGAGATCCTGGCTGCTGGCTTCCTAATGGAGCAAAGCTCTGGCCATTTAGGCCATTTGGGGAGTGAACCAGCTATGGAAGACCTCTCTTTTTCTCTCTCCCTCTGCCTCTTTGTAACTCTTAGAAATAAATAAATAAATAAATAAATAAATAAAAATTTTTCTTTGGGGGGGAGGGCGATCACCTGACCAACCTCACCAGGCTGGCAGACCCCCAGGCTGGGCTGAGAGTAGCTTTTCAAAAGGCTGAGTGTCTAGTACCTGCAGCACCCAGCAGCCTCTGCAGGGGATCTCAGCGCCTCCTGAGGCCAGGGCTTCTGCCTGAGCCTCTCCCTCCCCCAGCTAGGCAGCTTGCTAGCAACCCTGGGGCCCTCCCTTTGCATCAAATGGAAATAAAGCTTTATACTTTGTGTATGGATACCAAAAAGTGCTTTCTGGCTCTCTCTCTCCTCTCTCTGTCACCTAACACCAATTTTGGCTTGGGGGGCTGTACTTTGGGAGGGAATAGGTGCCTGGAAAATATGTGGTATTCATGAAAGTATTGTATGAGTTTGTGGGAAGTAAACAATGTTATAAATAATAAGCAATTCCTAGCAGTTAGCTGAAACTTCTTTATCTTTGGTTCAACGTATCAAGAGAAAGTTAATAGCATTATTATGTGGCTACTTCCAAAAAGTTCATGAAAAATAGAATAAAAAGATGTTTATGTTAGTGCAAACCTCTCTGATATCCCTGCATTTGAATGCTTTTTAAAAAGTTCATTAAAATGCATACTAAGGAAAAATTGTGCCTGAATTTCAATTTTTTCCACCAAAATGAAAATTTTTGAATTCTGTCTTTCATTTACTTTTGGAAGTACCCTTATATTTTTAATTAGTTAAGCTCTTTTTATTTCTTTCAGTAAATAACTTAAAGGTGTGAGTATTAATAACAATTGCTGGAAACAAGCTAGTTTAAAACATTCTAACAGTGTTGAGAGGTGCTAGTTTGAAGGTATAGGCATTTGACAATTGCTGGAAACCAGCTACTGTAAAAATATTTTTAACAATGTTGAGAGGTGTTGTCTTATATTATCAAAGACATAGAAATTTATCACTATGTTTCTTTTGTGTGTTGGTGGAGGTGAGGTGAATAGCATTCCATAGGTGCAATTCGTTTCTTTATGTACAATTGTGACAAACAGGTTCGTTTTGTAATCATTTATATCTTAGTATGTAAGTGTGTGTGTATACACACATACATGCTCAAATGTGTGCATATATTTATTACTTATTCTAAATGTGTCTGGTACTATTTCTGGCAGTTGAGATACAAAACACAAATTCCTGCCTCGTGAATCTCACATTCTAGCACAGAGAAAATGCAATAAAGATGAATAAGTAAAATAAATTACTCATTGCTTGTGGTAAGTATTAGAAAAGGCAAAGGAGAAATCAGAAATATTGGGACATGCAGTGTCATGACTGAAAATAGTGGCAAGTAGAGGACTAGCTGAAAACATACCATTTGAGCACAGATGAAGGGAGTAAGGCATTATGGGGAAGGGTGTTTGCAGCAGAGGAAAGGGCAATGGAAGACTGAAGCTGAGAGCTTGGGTAGAGTCTCCTAGGAACACAAGACTACCTGAGAAGTGTGTGAGGTCAGAGTGATCAGGAGGGGAGGACATTAAAGCCACCCTAAGGACTTTGGTTTTTACTTTGTGTTGGAAAACCAAGGGAGACTCTGAATAGGGAAGTGGAATGAATGATCTTCCTGCCTTTTGAACTGGTTTATTTTGGCTTCTGGGTTGAGACCAGACTCAAAGGAAAGCAGGGGCAGAAACAAGAAGACCAGTTCCTTGTCTACTTCAATAATCCAAACCAGTTTTATGTACATTGTAGTAAGTAGTGGATCTTGTATGTACTTTGAGATTGGAGGCAGCAGATTAACTGCACAATAAATATGGGACATAAGGGAAAGAAACTGAGGAATTAAAAATGATTTAGACAAGGAAAGATGGGGCCATTTACTGAAATAACAAAGGTTGCAGGTGCGGGAGAGTGGTTGAAGCCGGGAAGGGCATACATGCTGATGAAAAGACAGATAGGATGTAACTTAAAATATTAAAGAACTTGTTCTAAACATGCACCTAGAGCAACTAAAGAACTGCAAAAGTCTTTTCTTAAAATAAAAGCAGTTATGGACCAGGAGCTACATCTGTGTTGACTTCAGTTCTACCATGAGCAGCTCTATCATAAACAAGCCGTTTAACCTCATTATATCCATTTCCTAATTAATAATATGAAGAACTGGAGTAGCTGAACTCTACTGTAGCCTCCCACTGAAGTTAAATCCCAGATGGGTGCCTGTTTCTGTAAAATGAAATAATAATAGTAGCTACCTCATGGTTTACTGTCAGGATTAAATGAGGTTATATATGTAAAGCACATTAACTACCAATTGTTAGTTAATATTAGAATTCTCTCTTCAAGCAGGAATCTTAAAGTACATTATCTGTTCATGGGTTGTGTAGGATAGAGGAGTAAAACCGAGTGGCTAAGAAGGTAGAGAATTAAAGTTGGAGGACATTGACTTCACTAGTATTCTATACCAGTTCGTCGAAATGGCATTAAAAGAAATGTGATTTTTTCCATGCACCTTTTGAATGCCCCTCACCCATGATTAGGATCCCAAAATAAACTATTTCAGGGGAATAACGGAAAATGTACAGCTTCCTATATGTATCAAGACATGGAAGATTTCCAATCTTGCACCCACTAATCTCAAAAATGCAACATCACTGAAAGACATTGCAGTGGAAGGTTGAAATATATACTCAAGATAAAGGACATGTTTTCCCCTCCTGTTCGTTCGTTTTACCACATATCAAGCTCATTTAGTCAGTTTCGGAAAAACGCAATGTAGGTGCTAAAACGGAGAACACGGCCAGTGTTTTGAAGTTTAAAACCACATGCTCACATTCATTTTGCCCGTTTAATTTCAGATTCTTGCGAGGATTAATTTCTTCCTCTGGCGTCTTAGCTCGATTCTATTAAGAAGCATTGGTCCAAAACATGGTTATAATCCATTTTTTCCCCTCTGCATAAACTGCCCAACCATTCAGAAGGTTTTATTTCTTGAGAGAACAAGCGGTACTTTCAGAAGGGGTCTTCAACCCAGAGCTCAGCTAGGCGCCCCAGGGCTTCTCTGGGGTCTTAAATTGGATTTTTGAATAGCACCACCTGCTGGTAGTGCCCGCGTCTTACTTCCCCTACGCAATATCTCTCCCTTGAGGATCTGCTCGCTTTCAGGGCTCCTTGCCCTTAATACGAGTAAGGCAAAACCTAAGAGATCAGGAGCATCCAAGCAGCTGGACGGCGGGTTCCCGCAAGTGGAGAGGGCGGGTACCGGCGGCGCGCTCGAGGGCGGGGCCTGGGCCCGCGGCGGGAGGCTCGGGCGCGAGCTCTGCGAGCGCGAGGCGCGACTTCCGGCCCGCGCGGCCCCGCCCCCGCGACGCGCCGGGCGGTCACGTGACGGTCGCGCGCGTCCCCGGCCGCTGCGGGCTCCGAGGCCGAAGAGAAAAGACGGCGAGGTGGCCGGGGCTGTGGCCGGAGAGGAGGGAGTCGAGGCGCCGCCCTCGCGGAGGTCACGGCGAAGGCCCGCTGCTCCGGGATCCTAACTCGGGGGGAAGAGGCACGACTCGCGGTGCCTCCGGCAGGCTCGACGCGCCCCGGTCGGCCTGCTGTCGGGCCCGGAGAGGGGCGGCGGCGGGGTCAGGGCCCGGTACGTAGATGGACGCCCTTGGCCGGCTCGGTAGCTGCTGTGGCCGGGTGGCGGGAGGGGCCCTGCGGCCTCCCTGCCGCCCCCGCTCAGGCTGTTGTCGCAGGCACGAAGACTGTGACGGCCTCTGCGTGGCCGCTTGGCCGCAGCCCCTGCGGTGGCGATGCCGGAGCTGGCCTGGGCCGAGGTGCGAGAGGCAGGGCAGCGGCCATTACTGCGCAGCCTCTTCGACCGGGTCCGCGTCGCCGTCTTTGGTGGCCGCCGGGTCCTTCTCCTCTTCCTCGGCCGTGGGGTCAGGCCTCTGCCGAGGGACCTGCTGGCCTCAAGGTGCAGGGGCCCAGATGCTTTAGGGGTTACCTGTTCCCTGTGTGGAGTCAGAGACTTTGGGCCTGGGGTCCGATGCAAGCTAGGACATGGAGTGCCCGCGTTTTGTGTGATCCCGAGCGCCTTGGGCTGCTGTTTTTTCTCTCTCTCTCTCCCCACCACTGCTGCTTCTGCTTAGCGTCTGGGTCTTGCCTCATCTGAAGGGAGCAGCTGCCCCACCTTGTCCTGGCGAGACTCAGCGCTGCACATTCACGGTTGTCTGGACGGCTGTGGACTCTTGGGGACCGCGAGAGAGCTCCGAGAGCCTCGGAGCCTGCCCGACCTCCCTGCGGCTTCTCGGCGGAGGTGGTTGCTTTGTTCTGGTTGCCGGGTGCGGAGGTCCCTCCCTGCTGTCCAGTTGGTCCGAGAGTGCTGGTCTTTCTTGCCTTCTGGTCGCTATTTTGTTTTCTGAGAGGCTGCAGCATTGCTTTTTGAGGGTGTGGAGAGGGCACCGTCCTTTCCCGCAGGGAGTAACTCCAGGATTAAGTTTATACACACACATGTTGGCAACTAGATTCGCTTTTGTTTTTGTTTTTTTTTTTTTTTCATGTTCATCGTTTCCGTCCCTGTTTTTATATATCTCTTGTCCGAGTGCCATTTTAGTGAGCCCTTCTTTCTCAAGTTTGGGACGTCTTGTTTCCTGTTGGTTTATATTGAAACTGTGGAACTGAGGGGAGAAGAAAACCAAGAAAGGATAGAAAACGCTTTGTTCTTCCTGTGATTGACATTTCAGGTGCCAGGGACCCCGCAAGTCCCCAACCCCCACCGCACCCCGTACGTGTAGTGTACACTTTTAAGTGGGAAGTGGATGTATAACGTTGGCACTGAAAGCAGTATATAATTACAGATTTTGGAAGACCTTGGACATTTTAGTAAGTGCATCTATATTTAGACTTTTGAATAAGCATGTTAGGACACACACAGAAAATGACCCCCACAGATAGGATTTGTGATGTTGAGTTTGTTGTTTTTTTGACTAGCAGATATTTGTGTTCAGAGTCTGGGTGCTGTGAAAACGCATGAAAATAGGTCAAGTAAACCTCATTTTAAAGAGAAAACTTGAAGAGTGAATAGCACTCTAAAAATAGATTTTGATCATGTTTGTTTTGGCCTTGTGTATCTTAAAGTGGACCATTTTAAGTCCTATTTTTGGTTTATAGTTTAAGTGTCAAATGAGCTAATGTAATGTAAGTTGGGACAAAATGAAAATAATGGCGCTTAAACATTTGAAGATTTTTTTGTGATTTGTCTGTTAAGAGGCTGACAAGGAAACTTTCTCCAAATAGTCAGTCATCAGGCAAGATGAAAAAAAAGGTGGTATTTTTTGTTTAGGAGTTAGGTCAACTGACAAAATGTTTTTTTTTAGTTTCTGCCAACTTGAGTTGTCAGACGAAAGGAGGCAGATTTTTTTTTAAAGGATCAAGAATAATTTCTTGACTTAGATATTATTGATTTTTTTCCAAAACATTGATCTGTTTGAAGAATATAGTTTTATGTGTTAAGGATATACTGGTATTAAATACCTGACACACTGTCAGTTGAGAATTTGAGTGTGTTTTGTTGTTGTTTGGTTGTTTTTCTCTAGTACTAGTAATAGAAAGTACTGAGCCTTTGGCATTTTCTTGCCTGGTTTGATTGCCTTGTGACTTGAGGAATCTGAATTTTTAAACATGCTGGATTAGTTTGACTCTACAAACCTACTTGTTAAAACTAGGCTACAGCCACCTGTGTTTGCTTATAAATTCTTATGTAGTACTCACGGCCTATATTATCTTTGGGTTAATAAAAATAAAACCTATTGCTAAATGCCTGTTAATTAAAGATTTAAAATTTGGAATTACAGAATAGAGGAATCTGGTAAAAGACATGAGAATCATGACTTGACAAGGTCACACAGATAATTAGCAAGAGTCTTTGTTATTTGCAAAGTGGTTGCTTGCCATGATACTTACATGTGTTAATTAAAGTCAGTTTTTGTTCACATTTTATTTAAATGAAATGCAAAACCTACTTTCTGTAGGGAGGATTTAAAGTTGTAATGCTTATGTGTGAAGATTGTGAAGTCAGTAAATAGATTGCCATACAGTAGTATTTTTAAAAGGAGTGATACATAATAAGAGAAATAATTCTTTAAAATAAATTGTTGGACCTCATTTGTTTCAAATAAGTTTAAATTTTTCCAATTATGACCTTTAGGACTTGATTTTTTTTTTTTTTTAATAGAGTTAGTGAGAGAGAGACAGAGAGAAAGGTCTTCCTTCCATTGGTTCACTCCCCAAATGGAAGCCATGGCCTGGCGCGCTGCGCCTATCCAAAGCCAGGAGCCAGGTGCTTCTTCCTGGTCTCCCATGCAGGTGTAGGGCCCAAGCACTTGGGCCATCTTCCATTGCCTTCCCGGGCCACAGCAGAGAGCTGGACTGGAAGAGAAGCAACCGGGACAGAACTGGTGCGCCAACTGGGACTAGAACCCCGTGTGCAGGCGCTGCAGGTGGAGGATTAGCCCAGTGAGCCACAGCGCAGGACAGGACTAGATTTTTTTTAATAAAGGATGATGAAGACTGAAAATGGAAACATTAGGGCATTTGTTACATCTCTCATTTTGTGGCTGTTTATTAAGAACTATTAAGATGTGTGTGTTAAATCTTACCTGACATCTGTCTCCCCTATTTTTTGCTCTTTTTGTTGAGTTATGTACCAAAAGTTGGAAGGCTTAAAGTATTTTTCTTCCTTCTGTCACTGATGGTTTTTGTATAGAACATTTCCTGTTGTCAGTTTTTTCCCCCCCAGAATTGTAAATGGACAATATATCTAATTTAGTTTTAGATCTCTTTTTTTTGTTACCTTCTTTAGTGGATCATTGTAGTGAGTTTGGTGTACAATTTGCCAGTCATTTATTATAGCGAAGATTATATAAATTATTTTGTCAAATTAATTCTGGTCTGTAGTTCAAATTAAGCTGTTGTCTTATATCCTTCTTTTGGTTAAAATAAGAACAATACTCTTTCTCTCCCTTATCTCCCCAGCCTTACCCTGCCCACGCCATTTTAATAACATCTTTCAGGTGTTCTGAGGGCTTCTTCATGTGCTATTTGTAATATAGGCATGCCCTAGTTTGTGCCCTGTTAACATGATTCTTAGGGGTTTTAGTGGATAGGTCAGTTTGGCAGAATTGGTCTCACCTGTGAACTTTGAGCAGCACACGATAGAAAATTTTCTTTATCTGTGGCCAGCAAAGGTATGAATAAATTAACAGGGAGGTAATTTTTTTTCTATTCAGTGATTCCTGTAGTAACTTGCCTTTTTTGCATTAAAAAAAGTGACTTCTCAGTATACCAGTCTAGACCTTCATTGCCCTATATGATGGCTAGTAGCCATGTGGCACTATTGAGCAGATGATCTGTGGCCAATCTGAGTTGAGTTGTGCATTAAATGCTAAGTACACAGTGAGTTTCAAAGAGTACACACAAGAATATAAAACATAAATTATTTTTTAAATTGAATACATGTTAAAATGGTAATATTGTAGATACATTGGATTAAATGAAAATTTGAAATTAATTTTACTTGTTCATTCTCTAAAATGTTAATCTGATTGGATTAACTGGAGTTTTACCCACTTTCTTCTAGTGTATATGTTGCAAAGCCTTTGCTTTTAATATTTGTGTCTGTAGTCTTATTTCAACTTTGTGAAGTAGTTATATAAAAAAAAATCACAACTTATTTAGATGTCCAAATGTGGGGGTTCTGAAGAATTTTCTGTACATTCCTTTGATGGTATTTGTTTCTGTTATATTAGGTTCCTTTAAGCATCAACATGTTTCAGATAAAATATTTATGGAAAAACATGAATAAGTAAGTGAGTAGAGAAGAATAGATGAGATTTGTTAAAGGGAGTATTTATAAATGTAGGAGAGAAGAGGGATTAGAAACGGGAAGATTTTCGTGTGTATTTCAGAGGAGTAAAAAAGTGCTTTATACACATCTCAAGTACTAAAGTCAAAATAGTGATCAAACAAGATTTTTAAAGAGTTGTTTAAGTTCTGGACTAGAAGTTTAACATTCAATGCAATATTTTTGGAGAATAAGAGATTAAAATGATTGACTAGTATGTTTTAAAGACTTTTAAAGGGTTGGTGTTGTGGTATAGCAGATAAGGCTACTGCCTGCAGTGCCAGCATCCCATATGGGCACTGGTTTAAGTCTCTACTTCCCATCCAGCTCCTAGCCAATGGTCTGGGAAAGCAGTAGAAGATGGTGCAAGTGCTTGTGTCCCTGCACCCATGTGGGAGACCCGGAAAAGCTCCTGGCTCCTGGCTTTAGATCGGCCTAGCTCCAGCTGTTGCGACCATTTGGGGAGTGAACCAGCAGATGGAAAACCTTTCTCTCTCTCTCTGACTCTGCCTTTCAAATAAATAAATACATTAAAAAAAAAAAAAGCATTTTAAGATGGAAAGAATAGGCGCCAGCCCTATGTTACAGCGGGTTGAAGTCCTGGCCTGAAGTGCTGGCATCCTGTATGGGCGCTGGTTCTAGTCCTGGCTGTTCTCTTCTGATCCAGCTCTCTGCTGTGGCCTGGGAAAGCAGTAGAAGATGGTCCAAATGCTTGGGTCCCTGCACCCACATGGGAGGCCTGGAAGAAGCTCCTGGCCCCTAGCTTCACATTGGCTCAGCTCCGGCCATTGCGGCCACCTGGGGTGTGAACCAGCAGATGGAAGATCTCTGTCTCTACCTCTCTCTGTAACTCTGTCTTTTAAATAAATGAAATAAATCTTAAAAAAAAAAAAAAAAAAGGAAAGACATAGCTGTAGACCAATAGCTATACCCTATACCCAGTAGGCGCTTGAGTATCAATTATGTTAGAATTGAGGATAAAGTAAGAATAAATTGATTTTTGAGTAATGTTCCAAAAACCTTTGTGTTGAGTAAAAGGTAGGGTTTCTGGCATCCCATATGGGCACTGGGTTCTAGTCCTGGTTGCTCCTCTTCCAGTCCAGCTCTCTGCTGTGGCCCGGGAGTGCAGTGGAGGATGGCCCAGGTGCTTGGGCCCTTGCACCCGCGTGGGAGACCCGGAAGAATCACCTGGCTCCTGGCTCTGGCCGTAGTGGCCATTTGGGGGGTGAACCAACAAAAGGAAGACCTTTCTCTCTCTGTCTCTCTCTCACTGTCTCTGTCAGGGGGAAAAAAAAAAAAAAAGTAGGGTTTCTTTTCTCAAAAGATAGAGGATAGAAGCTGGACTGTCCTATATATGGTTCTATGTATGTCCTACATAAGGCTTCTTAGTAGAAGACCTTACCTTTACTGGGAAAAGAGATTGATGAAAGCTATTGGTAGAACCTCTTTTGACTTATCTTCGGGTTTTTGTCTATATTCTGTAGAATTCATTGCCAATGAATAATAGCTGGATAAAAGAAGTGCTCGCTAAAAGATAAAAGATGACTTCAATCTTGTGTTTATAAGTTGGTCTTTGGGCCATTCTCTGCTGCTTTCTCAGATCATAACAGAGAGCTGGATCAGAAGTGGAGCAGCTGGCATTTGAACTGGTGCCCATATGGGATGCCAGCACTGCAGGTGGCGGCTTTACCTGCTGTGCCACAGCACAGGCCCTGATGGTTCATTCTTCAGATTATTTAAATTGGCTCACAGTGATGTTAGGAGTTAAAGTGAAGAGGCTGCTTTGAAAGTTGAGAAAGCAGCTGAAGGGGATTGTGATTGAATATGTGGAATATGCCGTCATTGGTGCAGAAACTTCAAAGAGTAAGTAGTGATGTTGAAACAGTAGAATGTCTTCTCTTGTATAACTATATTGACTATATGGATGTTTGTGAAAATGGACTGTTTCTGTTTTGAATAGACTGCAGGAAGAAAGTATATGGAGTCGTCTGTGATGCCATTGAAGTTGTAGGCACGTAGAGGGTAAAGGGAAAAAAAGGGCTGGGAGGAAAGTCAGCGTAGTGGAGTGCCGTATCATCTAAAGTCAGAGTAAAACAAAAGCCAGGTTACTTAGAAACTTCATTTAGGGCCGGCGCCATGGCTCAATAGGCTAATCCTCCGCCTGCAGCGCCGGCACACCGGGTTCTAGTCCCAGTTGGGGCACCGGATTCTGTCCCGGTTGCTCCTCTTCCAGGCCAGCTCTCTGCTGTAGCCCGGGAGTACAGTGGAGGATGGCCCCGCATCGGAGATCAGGAGAAGCACCTGGCTCCTGGCTTTGGATCAGCGCGGTGCGCCGGCGGCCATTGGAGGGTGAACCAACGGCAAAAGGAAGACCTTTCTCTCCGTCTCACTGTCCACTCTGCCTGTCCAAAAAAAAAAAAAAAAACACTTCATTTAGTCACATTTAGTCAGTTTTAGAAGTTGTCTGATTCTTAGATTGTTTTATTAAATATTTGTTAGGATAAGCTGGCTTGTACTTAGAGGCTATATAATGATATTGAAAATATTTTTCTTTAAACACTCAGATACCTATCCTAAAGAGAAAAAGATTCAAGGCTGTCTTACATTGTATGTATTGTAAGGTCTATTATAGGTTTCGTTTCGTGTGCTTGATTTTAAGTTAGTTCTTTGCAGTTTGATGTGCATCCTACAATGGGACTGATGCAGTGGGAGAAGGAAATACTAAATGAGAAAAAATATTCATGACCAACATGATGTTCTGGGTGGCACCACTGGATTTCCTGGACAAGAGGTATCTTGAAAGAAGATTGACTTAAACGTTGTACAAATATCTGCATATAAAAAGAGGAAGGCTGGCACCCTGGCTCACTAGGCTAATCCTCTGCCTGAGGCGCTGGCACCCCGGGTTCTAGTTCTGGTTGGGGCGGCGGATTCTGTCCTGGTTGCTCCTCTTCCAGTCCAGCTCTCTGCTGTGGCCAGGCAGTGCAGTGGAGGATGGCCCAAGTCCTTGGGCCCTACACCTGCATGAGAGACCAGAAGGAAGCACCTGGTGCCGGGCTTCGGATTGGCACAGTGCGCCGGCCTTAGTGGCCATTTGGTGGGTGAACCAATGGAAGGAAGACCTTTCTCTCTGTCTCTCTCTCTCTCACTGTCTAACTCTGCCTGTCAAAAAATAAATAAATAAAATAAAAAAAAGAGGAAGTTCTGGTTGGTATGATGACATTGCCTTTGTAACTACTACCTCCTTTTAGGAAGGCAGAGATGATGAATTTATTCAATATTAAAATAGGATACTTCAGGTTTTTTGTTCTTGTTGTTGCTACTTTGTCCATATAAAAATTGTTTCACCTAAAAACTTCTTATTGTAGTAAAATATAAGTTACATAAAATACACTGTTGTAACCATTTGTAAGTGTGCAATTCAGTAAAATTTCATTTGTATTGCTGTGCAACCATTACTATGTATTTCCACAGCTGTTATTTATTTTTTTTAAAATGATTCCTGACAAACACCTAGTACAGTAACTCCCCATTCTCTTCTCCCAACCACTGGTAACCTCTAATATACTTTCTGTCTCTATGAATTTGCTTATTTTTGATATTCCATAAATGTAAAATCATACATTTGTCTCTTTGTGTCTGATTTATTTTATGTAACACAATTTTTTGAGTTTCATCCATGTTATAGTACATTTCAGAACTTTATCTCTTCTTGTTATTGAATATACACTTGTACTTAAGACATTTGTCTTATTTGAAAGGCAGAGTTATAGAGAACAGGACACAGATCTTCCATCCTCTGATTCACCCCCAAAATACCACAACAACTGGAATTGGGCCGAGCTGAAGCCAGGAACCAGGAACTTCATCTGGGTCTTCCACATGGGTGACAGAAGCTCACTTAATTGGGCCATTTTCTGCTGCCCTACCAGCTGCACCAGCAGGGTGATGGATCCAAAGTGGAGCAGCCAGAACACAAACCAGCACACCTTGCTGCACCACAATGCCAGCTCCTCACTGTTGTTTTGGTATACCACCTCACCTCACTATGCTGATTTTTAGTCTTCTGTTTATGGATACTTGGGTTGCATCTGTCTTTAGTCTAATGAACATTGGCTTATTTAAGGCCATCTTTTCAATTCTTTTGGAGTAGCAATGGGTTATATGATAATACAATGGTTAAGTTTTTGTAAAAACACCAAATGGTTGTCCACAGACACTGTAGCATTTTATATTTCCACCAGCAGTCTTTGAAGGTCCAGTTTCTCCTTACCAACACTTCACTTCCCTTTTTAGAAGATTGTAACCATCCTAATAGATCTGTCATTGTGATTTTGGTTTCCATTTCCCTAGTGACTAATAATGTTAAGCATCTTTTTGTGCTTACTGGCTGTCTGTATATCTTCTATGGAGAAATGTTTAAGACTTTGCTTATTTTTTAATTGGTTTGTCTTTTTGTTGTTGAGCTGTAGATCATTCTGTATTTCAGACCTTTATCATATATGTAGTTTGCAAAGATTTTCTCCCATTCAATAGTATGTTTACTTTCTTGATAGTAGTCTTTGATGCATAAAGTTTTAAATTTTGATAATTTTGATAAATTTTTGATAATTTAAGTTTCTTCTTTTGCCACATGCCTTTTGTTCATTTAGAAATCCATTGCCAAATCCAAGCCATGAAGATTTATTTCTTCTTATGTTTTCTTCTATGAAATTTATGGTTTTACTTATGTTGTAGTTCATTGATCCATTTTAAGTTAATTTTTTTTTTTTTTTTGACAGGCAGCGTGGATAGAGAGAGAGACAGAGAGAAAGGTCTTCCTTTTGCCGTTGGTTCACCCTCCAATGGCCGCCACATCTGGCGTGCTGCGGCCAGCGCACCGCGCTGATCTGAAGGCAGGAGCCAGGTGCTTCTCCTGGTCCCCCACAGGGTGCAGGGCCCAAGCACTTGGGCCATCCTCCACTGCCTTCCCCGGCCATAGCAGAGAGCTGGCCTGGAAGAGGGGCAACCAGGAAAGAGTCCGACGCCCCGACTGGGACTAGATCCTGGTGTGCCGGCGCCGCTAAGTGGAGGATTAGCCTAGTGAGCCGCGGCGCCGGCCTTAAGTTAATTTTTTAATATGGTATGAGATAGGTGTATAATGTCATTGTTTGGCACGTGGGAATCCAGTTGTCCCAGCAACATTTGTTGAAGAGACTATTCTTTTCCTCTTGAATGGATTTCACATGTTCTTTGAAAATCTGTTTACTATAGATATATGAGTGTATTTTTGGACTCTTATAAATTCGAGTCCATTGGTGTATTTGTCCATAGCTTTGTAATAACTTTTGACATTGGAAAGTGTGAATTCTTTAGCTTTTTTTCTTCCTTTACAAGATTGTTGTAGATAGTTGGATCCCTTGCAATTCCAGATGAATGTGAGGATTAGCTTCTGTGTTTATACAAAAAAATTAACATTTTCATAGGAATTATTTTAAATTATGTTGATCTGTTGTTGTTGCCTTAATATATTGGGTCTTTTAATCTATGGAACACCAGTTATCTTTCAATTTATTTTTTAAAAAATATTTATTTCAAAGATGAAGAGAGGGAGGGGGAAGGGTTGATTTTCAAATACACTGATTGACTCCCCTGAAATGGCTGCAACAGCTAGGGCTGGGCCAGGCTGATGCCAGGTATCAGGAACTCCATCTGGGTCTCCATATGGATGGCAGCAAGTCAAGTACTTGAGCCATCATCTACTGTTTCTGAGGCACAAGGCACATTAGTAGGAAGCTGGAACAGAAGTGGAATAGTGCAAACTTTAACCAACTCTGAGATAGGGGATGTTGGTGACCTAAGCAAGGGATTAACCAAGTGCACTACAATGTCTGCCCCAGCTTTCAACTTATTTAGCCCTTTAGTTTCTTGTAGTAATTTTTTTTTTTGTTTCATTACATATGCCTTTCACCTCCTGGCTGCATTGATTCGCACATATTTTATTTCTTTGGATGTTATTTTAAATGGAATTGCTTTATTGATTTCCTTTTTTGGTTGTTGACTTCTGGTGTATAGAAACAAAATGTGTGTGTGTGTATGTGTGTGCAGCTTTGATGAATTTTTTTATTAGCTTCCTTGGAAATTCTTTGGGATTTCTCATATAGTCAGTAGAGAAGTTGATGTTGAAATTTTTTCTTTGGCAGCACAAAGAATGAACAAGCAGTGGAAGAGAAAATACTGCAAACTGGCTGACTCCTGGTGAAGATGTTGTACTTTTCTGGCAGGCATCTGTGGGATTTATAATAGAAATGTAAGTGAACATGGTTTTTCCAAAGCTATGGTAAATTAAATGGGTTGGTATAAAGGGATCACATAAACAAAACTAGTGTCTGCTAATACTAACTGATAGAATTAAAAAGGAGAGAATGATCCAACGATCCAACGTGGGAAGCAGGATACACAGCAGACTCATAGAATGGCCAATGTCCTAAACAGCACTCTGGCCTCAGAATTAGCCCTTAAGGCATTTGCATCTGGCTGAAGAGCCCATGAGAGTATTTTAGGCATGGAAAGCCTAGTAGCAAAAAAAAAAAAAAAAAAAAAAGCCTAAATGAAAGATCTCTGTGAGTGAGATCCCAGTGGAAAGAACTGGCCATCAAAGAAGGAGGTACCTTTCTCTGAAGGGAGGAGAGAACTTCCACTTTGACTATGACCTTGTCTAAATAAGATCGAAGTCAGCGAACTCAAGAGGCTTCCATAGCCTTGGCAAGTCATGACTAGAGCCTAGGGAGATTACTGACGCCATAAACAAGAGTGTCAGATTGTTAAGTCAACAACAAGAGTCACTGTGTACTTCTTATGTGGGATCTCTGTCCTTAATGTGTTGTCCAATATGAATTAATGCTATAACTAGTACTCAAACAGTATTTTACACTTTATGTTCTGTGTGGGTGCAAACTGATGGAATCTTTACTTAATATATACTAAATTGATCTTCTGTATATAAAGATAATTGAAAATGAATCTCGATGTGAATGGAATGGGAGAGGGAGTGGGAGATGGGAGGGGTATGGGTGGGAGGGAAGTTATGGGGGGGGAAGCCATTGTAATGCATAAACTGTACTTTGGAAAATTATATTTACTATAAAAGTTAAAAAAAAAGACATTGACTTCAATAAACAAGGTAGGTAGACAGTGTTAGGTTTTATAAATAAAAAGGCTTCTGGGTTACAAAAACACTAGTTACCAAAAGCTATTTTCACAAAATTACAGAAATGTCTTCATACCCTAATTGGTAAAATTTGGCACATTATGTCTTTATTTACATTGATTCACTCTTATCGTCAGTTAACTAGATATGTTTCCTATCATTTAGTCTTTCCATAATATGCTTTAAAGTATTACATGACCTTGAACTTACTCATACTGAACTTCACTGATAAAACAGTTTTCCATGATGAGCATTATATTTGTATCTCCCAAATTAATATAAACATTATCCAACTTAATGGCATTAATAAGACATGCAAATAACATTTTTATTAATTCTTTAATAAGTATTAGTGATTATATTGTTTAAATTATTGGACCAAACATTAACCCTATAGATACCATTGTAGTCTCTCCTTGTTTAACATATATCTCTTGACATCTGCTTTTCCAGCATGATAACTCTGATTATGTAATTCTGTTGTGTATGTGAAATATCATTCTTAGTGTTGAGAATTTGATTAAAGAATAATAATACACTAGGAATTTTAATCTTATCTATATTTTTTCATATTTTAGGTAGATTTTTTGTTTTTAATTTTTGACAGGCAGAGTTAGACAGTGAGAGAGAGAGAGAAAGATCTTCCTTTTTCTGTTGCTTCACCCCCCCAAGTTGCCGCCACTGCCGGTGCATTGTGCCGATCCGAAGCCAGGAGCCAGGTGCCTCCTCCCAGTCTCCCATGCAGGTGCGAGGGCCCAAGGACCTGGGCCATCCTACACTGCACTTCTGGGCCACAGCGGAGAGCTGGACTGGAAGAGGAGCAACCGGGACAGAATCCAGTGCCCCAGCCGGGACTAGAACCCAGGGTGCTGGCGCCGCAGGCAGAGAGTTAGCCGTGGCGCTGGCCCAGGTAGATATTCTAAGTCCTAATCATGAACAAATTTGTTGTGGTCTAATACATGAGACACATAAGTAATTAACAGACAGTGTTGAGGTAACAAATGTGATTAGAACTGAGAAGAGGAGGTCAATTTCTTCTGAAGGATTCAAAATAAACAGAAGAACTTTTAGTTTGGTCTTAAGATTGAATAGAGTTTCAATAATTGGAGAAAATCAGAAATTATATTTCAAGCCCAGGAAATGAGGAGTGTTGCTCTACCTAACATGAGGCATTTTAGGGGATTCAGGGAACAGCTCTGTGTGGTGAAGTAGGATAGGATAAAGAAACTTTGAAGTAAATAAAGAGAATGAATACTTACTTAGCACCTACTATATTATCAGTGTTTTGCTTAGATTATTAAAATGAATTACTTTGTAGGGAATCGTAGCTTCATTTACTGATGATTAAACAGAATGAGAAGGGTGGGCTAATCTTATTCTGCTTGGGATACCTGCTTCCCCAATTTTGAAGTGTCTAGATCAAGTCCCAGCTACTCTGTGATTCGAATCCAGCCTTTTGCTAATGTCCCTGGAAAGCAGCAGAATATGGCTGAAGTACCTGGGTTCTGGCCACCAACAGAGGAGACTTGCATGGAGTTGCTGGCTTCAGACTCTGCCTGGCCTGGCTTAGGCAGTTTGTAGGTGTTTGAGGAGTGAATCAGCACATGAAGATCTCCCCTGCTTGCCATCCCTTCCTCTCCCACCCTGCCTTGTCATTCTGACTTATAAATAAATGAATTGTTTTTTAAAGGCAGAATTAGAAACATAAATCACTTGCATAGACCAGTGTTCACCAAGCTTCTCAGAATAATCTTCTGGGGTACTTGGTAAAAATACATTCCTGTACTGTAACCTAGAAACTTTAGGATAGATTTCCAGGAGACAGCACATAAGCTAATCCTTAACTTTAGGGAAGTTTGGGAAATGCTGGCCTAGGTTAACACACTGGGAATAACTGATAAAGCCAGGATTTTAATTAAGTCTGTTTACCATTAAGGCTGTATCAATAGTCTTAAAGGTCAATGCTTATGGATTTAGATTAGATTATATGAATAGGAGACTATTGAAGATTGAGAGAGGACTAATTAAACATTACTGAAAAGAGGAAAAACCAGAGGGAAGTCCAACTGAAGTCAGTTGGAAGGTTGGTATTTGTACAAGCAGATGTAGCCAAGAGTCATAGGCTTTGGGAATGAAGGAGACACAAATTCTTCCTGTCATAGATGAGAGGTGGCCAAAGAATAGGGGAGTGTTAAGTATGGCTCCACATTTTATCCAAGATAGAGAACAGAGGACAAGGATGCAGGTTCAGGGGAGTAATTTTTTTTAAGTTGTTTGCTTTTAGTTATGTTAATTTTAGGTGCATGGAGAATATTGAGGGTAAACTTTCTGGGTACAGAACTGCAAATTTGAGTGGTAGGTGTATTAGTTTGAAATATGCATGGATTCTTTTAGGCATAAAATATAGTATGAAAGTTGGGCCACCCATGGATCCTTGTAGAAATACTGGTACACATTTTTACAGAAAGCTAAAGAAGACAGAAATAAAAGAAGTGGAAAGAATGCTGTTGTGGAAATGAAGAATGTAGAGTTTTAGAAAAAGATTAAGCGGTTAATATATAGTTCAGTGGGATCAAATAGATTGTAAAAGACAATGACATTAGATTTTAGGGTTAGAGAATATTGATCTATGTGTTGGAAAACTTGGGGATTGGTACTGATGCTATAAATTAACAGATTAGCTCTTAGTCCAACAGCTGTACCCCATTGTCAGCCAAGAGGAATGATAATAAGGCAGACTATAGATTTTGAGGATTTATTTCTGGGGTATCCAATTTCTCAGTGACATGGAAGTCAGAATACCTCTGAACTTGGGAGCTTTCAATAGTTTTGTAATAGTCTGTGGTGTTTTGGCTGAGTAAAAAGTTAGAGTGGTGCATGTTTAGCCTAGCAGTTAAGATGCTTGTTAGGATACCTGTACTTCACATCAGAGTGCTTATCTTCAAATTCTGGCTCCGCTCCCGAGCCCAGTTTTCCTCATAATTTGCACCTGTGAGACAGCAGAAGATGATGTAGTTGATGACCCAAGGAGTTGGATCTCTGCCCTTCAGCTGGTAGACCTGTATTAAATTGCAGCTCCTGACTCTGGTCTGGCCTTTTTGGCTATTGAGGGCATTTGGGTAGTGAACCAGTGGATGGGCTATCTCTGTGTCTTTTGTCTCTGCCTCTCTTTTCTTCATAAATAAATAGATTAAAAAGAAACTTAAACATTGAGAATTTATTGTTAGGCTTGCTGGTCTCTGACAAATCAAAATAGTGTGTGGGGTTCACAGACTCTGCACCATACAATTTTCTGTAAAAGTGTCATTTTCATAGGTTAGAGTAGCTTTTGTAAGTCTCCTTACTTAATCATTTTTCATGAATGTCTCATCTCTTGGTGTTTGTGATGATGTTCTTTTTGTTATATATATATTCTCTGACCATTCCTTACCTCTTTTACCTGCTGTTTCCCTTCACTTACAAATGTTAAATCAATCCACAGTTCTGAATTTGGCTTTTTCTGCTTCCTCAACTGGTTTAGTTTGGGCATTAATCCTTTTTTTTTTTTTTTTTTTTTTTTTAAGATTTATTTATTTATTTGAAAGGCAGTTACAGGGAGGCAGAGGCAGAGAGACACACAGAGGTCTTTATCCATTGGTTCACTACCCAGATGGCCACAACAGCCAGAGCTGCACCCATCAGGAGCCAACATGTGGGTACAGAGGCCCAAGGACTTGGGCATCTTCTACTGCTTTCCCAGGCCATAGCGGAGAGCTGGATCAGAAGTGGAGCAACCTGGACTCGAACTGTTGCCCATATGAGATGCTGGCACTGCAGTTGGCAGCTTTTACCCGCTACTCCACAGTGCCGGCTCCCATCCATTTTCATGGCTTCAAGGACCATGTGTATTTGTTAGTGACTCGCAGGCTTTTTTTCAGCTTCCTTTCTTAGAGTACTAATCTATTAAATTTAATTGTCAATATACTTTCAGTCTAGAGAACTTACAGATTTTTTAAAGTCATCAAATTCTGAATCTTGGTGAATAGTGTCACCATCCATCAGTAACAAAATGCTGTGATTTCTGTTTCTATAGTATTGCTTATATTCTTCTATAGGAACCTTACATCAGTACCATCCCTCTCATTATCTTACCCTTAAATATATATATATGTATAAATTTTAGTTTCCTTTTTGCCCACTTGTATTTCTCACTACCAGACTTTCCTCCAAACTGCTCTTGAGCATCATTTGGTCTTAAAAATTAAACATTACTAAACAACTTTCAATTCCTGGTATAAAATGTTTCAGTGAAATTATTTTGCCCCCTTAAGGGTTTGTATGTGAACCAACTCCAAAGAGCTCCTTCAATTCCCTTGAAATTGTGTTAATATTTTATCAAATTCTCAATAAGGCTGTGACCTAAAAGATTTTTAAGAACCATTGATAGTTACGGTACACATCTATACTCATCTTAGGATAGCAGAATGACAAGGTCTTGGCAGCACTGCTTGTTGCAAAGTGTGTATCATCCATTCAAAATGTGTCTGTCTGTCCCCTTCCTACGGATAATCATTCCCTCCTTTGTGGCCCCTTGTGTGTGTTGAACCTGTCATAAGTAAGGCATGGGCCCATTAATTTATCTGCCCCTACACTTCTTATTTATTTCCTTCCTAGTGCCATGACATAATAGATGTTCAAATACCTAGTTCAGAATTGAAATGGAAAAGAGGGAAATACTAGAACTGACAGAGCTCTTCTTATATTTGGGTAGCTGTAATTATTTTGGAGGCAATTAATTAGCAGTTAAGAGTACAGACTCTAAAGTCAGATCACCTGGATTTGAAACCTAACTCTGAAGCTCATTTACTTACGATGAGTCAGTGGCTTGGGGCACAACACTTGAGTTTCCTCGGGGACATAATTCACCATTTTATTAGATAATGTAGACATTAAATGTAAAGTGCTTCAATCAGCTCCTGGCATGTATTATATAATCTATAAATGTTACTCATTATGTTTATGTTTTGATAGAGTAAAAATTTGCATCAACAAACACCCACCATTTATTTACAAGAGACTGTGCAATATGTAAAGAAATTTGTCTTAAGGACTAGGGAGTGTTGATTATTGCAATTTAAATTTTGAAAGTTACTTTTTTTTCAATTGGCATTTAAAACCTTTATTTGAAGGTAATTATGAAATAAAATAATTGATATTGTAAAGGTCCTATATAAAAAGGACATTTACTTTTTAAATTCTTTTTAAGGTATACAGATTTCAAGTATTTTATATTTAGGATATATTTCAGATTTAGGAGCATAGTGATACTTCCCACCCTACGCTCCCACTCTTTTTTTTTTTTTATTTATTTTTATTTTTTTTATTTTTTTTTTGACAGGCAGAGTGGACAGTGAGAGAGAGAGACAGAGAGAAAGGTCTTCCTTTGCCGTTGGTTCACCCTCCAATGGCCGCCGCGGCCGGCGCGCTGCGGCCGGCGCACCGCGCTGATCCGATGGCAGGAGCCAGGAGCCAGGTGCTTTTCCTGGTCTCCCATGGGGAGGGTGCAGGGCCCAAGCACCTGGGCCATCCTCCACTGCACTCCCTGGCCACAGCAGAGGGCTGGCCTGGAAGAGGGGCAACCGGGACAGAATCCAGCGCCCCGACCGGGACTAGAACCCGGTGTGCCGGCGCCGCTAGGCGGAGGATTAGCCTAGTGAGCCGCGGCGCCGGCCCGCGCTCCCACTCTTTTTAAAAAGTTTTTAAAAAAAACTTTTTAAAACCTTTTTTTAAAAATTCCTTTTAAGGTATACAAATTTCATGTATTTTATTTTTTTAAATTTTTTTAGTATTTTTCAGTTGAGAGTTAAACACTTGATCACACTAATAGGTCTAAGAGTCAAAGGGATCACACAAACAAGACTAGTGTCTGCTAATACTAACTGATAGAATCAGAAAGGGAGAGAACAATCCAATATGGGAAGTGGGATACACAGCAGACTCATAGAATGGCAGATGTCCTAAATAGCACTCTGGCCTCGGAATCAGCCCTTAAGGCATTCGCATCTGGCTGAAGAGCCATGAGAGTATTTTAGGCATGGAAAGCTAAGACACTCTGGCAAAAAAAACAAAACAAAACAAAACAAAACAAAACAACAAACAAAAAAAAAAACAACTAAATGAAAGATCTCTGTGAGTGAGATCCCAGTGGAAAGAACCGGCCATCAAAGAAGGAGGTACCTTTCTCTGAAGGGAGGAGAGAACTTCCACTTTGACTATGACCTTGTCTAAATAAGATCGAAGTCAGCGAACTCAAGAGGCTTCCATAGCCTTGGCAAGTCATGACTAGAGCCTAGGGAGATTACTGACGCCATAAACAAGAGTGTTAAATTGTTAAGTCAACAACAGGAGTCACTGTGTGCTTCTCATGTGGGATCTGTCCTTAATGTGTTGTCCAATATGAATTAATGCTATAACTAGTACTCAAACAGTATTTTACACTTTGTGTTTCTGTGTGGGTACAAACTGATGGAATCTTTACTTAATATATACTAAATTGATCTTCTGTATATAAAGATCATTGAAAATGAATCTTGATGTGAATGGAATGGGAGAGGGAGTGGGAGATGGGAGGGGTGCGAGTGGGAGGGAAGTTATGGGAGGGGGGAGCCATTGTAATCCATAAACTGTACTTTGTAAATTTATATTTACTGAATAAATGTTAACAAAATTTTTTTTTTTTGTATTTTTTTTTTTTTTTTTGACAGAGTGGACAGTGAGAGAGAGAGACAGAAAGAAAGGTCTTCCTTTTTCTGTTGATTCATCCCCCTAGGCCGCTACAGCTGGCACGCTGTGGCCGGCACAGTGCGCTGATCCGAAGCCAGGAGCCAGGTGCCTCCTCCTTGTCTCCCATGCGGGTGCAGGGCCCAAGCACTTGGGCCATCCTCCACTGCACTCCGGGGCCACAGCAGAGAGAGCAGAGAGCTGGACTGGAAGAGGAGCAACCGGGACAGAATCTAGCGCCCCAACCGGGACTAGAACCTGGGGTGCTGGCGCCGCAGGCAGAGGATTAGCCTAGTTAGCTGCGGTGCCGGCCATGTATTTTCATATTTAGGATGTATTTTAGATTTAGGAGCATAGTGATACTTCCCTCCCTAAGCTCCTTTCTCCTCCTTCCTCTCTTAGTCCCTCTCTTAATCTCTCTCTCAATTTTTACAATGATCTACTTTCAGTTTACATTATACCCATAAGATTAACCCTATACTAGGTAAGCAGATAGTAAGAGGAAGAAAAACACTATTCAGGACTGTAAACAATCATCAAAGCTCAAAATATCAGTTTCACTCCTATATATTACATTTTTGGTCCTCTGTTCATTACCACAGATCAGGGAAAAATATATGGTATTTTTCTTTTTGGGACTGGCTTATTTCACTAAGTATAATGGTTTCCAGTTGCATCTATTTTGTTGCAAAAGACAGAATTTTATTCTTTATTTTTGCAGCTGAGTAGTATTCCATAATGTACATATACTTTAATTTCTTTATGCTGTCATCAACTGGTAGAAATCTGGGTTGATTCCATATCTTAGCTGTTGTGAATTGAGCTTCAATGAACATGGGGGTACGTTTCATTTTGTTTAGGTAGATTCCCAGAGTGAGATTGCAGTGTCGTATGGTATAACTATTTTGAACAAGTTAAATTTCATACCCATTCTAGTGTGAAAGAGCTAAAGATTGGAGGAATTTTGTTCTTTTAAAAAGCAATCACAGTTTTGGGAAGGAGGATAAATTTCTTTTTTGGTATGTCTGCATTTATTAATAGTGATGTTAACTTATTCTTTGTTCTTTTTGTGTTTGTAATTGGATTCCTTTTATTTATTTAAAATTTGTACTTAGTTGAAAGGCAGAGAGACTCAGAGATGTGCTGTATACTGAGGACTCAATCTGGGTATCCCATATGGGTGGTAAGGGCCCAACTACTGTTGCTCCCACCCAGGTTGCACATTAGCAGGAAGCTGAAATTGGAAGCAGAGCTGAAACTCAAACTCAGGTACTCTGAAATGGCAGGGGGCTTCTGAAGTGGCCACCTGACTGCTGTACCAAACTCCTGCCCATGCATTTAAGTTCTGAACCCATGCTTAAAAAAAAATCTGACTTTGAATATTTGGAATTTGTGTTGCTGGCTGAAAAGTTCTTCAGTACTGTGAATGGTAAATATCTATGTGTTTTAATAATTTTACCTTTCTTTTAACTGAATGTCTTCAAGAAGATTCAATAAAATCTGAATGCTTGGAGATTTCTACCTACTCTGCCCCCATATCCATCTGTTATGTCTTCTTGAGGACTAAAGTATTAATAGTACTAATATTAATAGACTTTTACTTGCCTTGCAGAAATACTTTATATAGATTATCTATGGAAAGAAGAATGGGATTTATGATTAAAAGTTAGATTGTAAGAATTTATGAACATGTCTTAGAAAATTGGTTCTGTATTCTTTAGTCTTAGCAGAGTTGGACTAACTTTGCTCCAAATTTCTATATATTGAGTTTCTTTTTTTTTTTTTTTGTTTTATTTATTTATTTGAAAGTCAGAGTTACACAGAGAGAGAAGGAGAGGCAGAGAGAGAGAGAGAAACAGGTCTGCCATCCGCTGGTCCACTCCCCAAATGGCCACAACAGCTGTAGCTGTGGTGATCTGAAGCCAGGAGCCAGGAGCTTCCTCCCATTAAGTGGGGTGGAGAATAATGCTTTTTAGGTTGAATACTTTCTTTGTAGATTAGCTAGCTGTATCTGATGGAAAATTGACTGTGGGTCTGTTTTATTTAAAGCAAATATAACAGGTTTGAAATGGTGCATAGAAAAGTACAACATTGGTCAAAGAGATATATTGGATATCTTGTTTTACAGTTTACCAGACTTTTATTTTCTTACTTAAATTTTAAATTTATTAGGTTGTCCTATGTTCACAAGATACCTAATTGGTTTAGGTTGTGGAACTTATATGTAAGATGTTGCTATTTTTCCAAATTGGTGATGAATATCACTCCCCCCTTTTTCATTTTGTTTATTAATCGATCTTTGAAGGCAATGTAAGATATTTTGAAACTTCTGCAATGCCTAACACATACTAAGAAGACTTATTTGGTTGATGTAGAACTTCTGATAGGTTAGAAAAAAAATATACTTTACTGAGTTTCTGTATCTAGAGTTTCTGGTCAAGGAGTTGATTGGAAATCTAAAGTTGAAACACAATTTGAAATTAAGTTTTTCATTGAGACTGTTGCATCCTTTTCTAGATAACTCCAGTTTAAAAAAAAACTATCATTTTAAATCTTGTCAACTGAAAATCAGAGACACAGAAAAAGCAGTAAAATTAGATGTGCTGTGATGAAAGTCTAATAATGTTTTTCAATTTTTGGTTAGTGTTAGCAGTTTTATTGACTATCCCTTTTACAGCTACTGTTCTCATTTTTTATTGCTTGATCTCAAATGAAAAGAATCGTTGTGGTAATTAAATTCCTAAATATGGCAAAATTAATTGGTAGAGATTGTCACTCATTTTAAGCATCAGTTAGTGGTTTTGAATCTCTGATATCTTTACTTCCATTAATCAGTCTTATTTGTCTCTGGGCTACACCCTGTGTCATTTTTTCCTGTTTTAAAATAGCTATTGTTTCCTGTAACTATGTGATAAAAGTCAAGCCACATATTTCTTTAGCAGGGCACAATAAGGCTTTTATGATTCGGCCTCTGATTTATAGCTTCATCTCCTGCTATCCTCTTGTTTATGTGGCTCAGTGCTTTGCACATGTCTCTGAAGTCTCCACTTCCAAAGCCTCTCAGCATCGCAAACATTGTCATCTCTTTTGTTATGATACATTTTGATTACTGCAGGAATATTGTGCATATTATGATTGTTTGCATGTATATTTCCTTAATAGACCAAGTGCGTGGCTGATTGATTTTTAGAGCCATCGAATACTCGTATTGTGTATGAACTATGGTAGGGATCTGATTTGATAAGGTAGAAATTCCAAATTTTATGTCAGTGTGTTTAATCAATACTTAGTTTGACAAATCGTGCTTTTCTTTCTTTTTCCCTCTTCTTCAGGGCACCTTTGATATTCATGTCATTTTCTCCCCTGGTCTTCTATAGATTGTAATCTTTTGGAGCTTTAGTGAGTTAAACTTTGTAAATTCTGGTTGGTAGGTAAGGAAGTTTAAAGGTTTAAAGGTTTAACTGAGTCCCAAAGAGCACATAATTAACAAAGAAGATTAAGACACAGGTTTTTAGTTTTCTTGTCTAGTGTTGATTTCACAGTGTAGCAGCTGCCTTAATTCAAGTTACCCTTTCTCTCATGGCTGACTACAGCTTCTCATTATATAGTATTTCAGTGTGCTGCTTCAGGGCTGATCTGTAAGTCCACTGGCAGAATTTTTATATATTCCCAAAGTATATATAAGTAAATGCTTATATCAGGTGGTTTCACTTAATATTATTTAAAGTAAAATAAAAATACCAATTTTATGATACCATGATGTGTTCATGTTATTGTTTGAAAAAAAAAAACATTTTTTTAAAGCAAATATTTGAATGTTCTCTATCTGCCAGATCCTGTATGCAAATAGAGCAGTGAGCCAAAAATGACCTGTTCCTGCCCTTACAAAGCACACCAGCTTGTGGGGAAGACTGACATTAACAAAATAACCACACAAATAAATGTAACATTGCAGTTCTGATAAGGAATGAGGAGTGCATGGTAGTAACGAATTAGTAGCATGATCTGACTTCCTCATGGAGGCTTTCTCAAAGGGATCGGAGATGGGTAGTAGCTTAAGAAAGGCAGGAGATGAGGAGGGACTGTTTATATAGAGAAAACCTATGATTGGTAGGAAGTAGTCAGTGTGCTTAGAAGTCTAATGGATGTTTGATAGGAGATGGAGGTTGCAATGGGAGGTGGGGCCCAGATCATGGGGAATATAGAGAGCCCTGTTAGAGACTGGTCTGTATCCTAAAATCAAATTTTTAAGCAACAGATATGGCTGTACCAATTAAACAGTGTATGCAGTAATTCAGTAAACAATGCTTGGTAGCCAGGGAAAGGTGATGGATTCAGGAGATACAACTGATAGGACTTGCTGATGTTTTGTGTAGGGAGGGATAGGAGAAGGGCAGTTTCTAGGTTGGGTTTTTGGGTAGCATAAGCTTTATGGATAGTGGTATTACCATGGGATTTTTATCGAGCAAAAAAGAAGGAACAGATGATTACAGTTTTTGTAAGATCTAATATAGGTAATTGAAAATACAGATTTATGACTGAAAGGAGAGGTCTGGGCAAGTGATAGCAATGTGTGTGTGATTTCCACCTTGGCAATAGCTGATCCATGAGTACAGATGAGATCATCTCAAAGAGTACATTGATAACACATGCTTTAGAAAACAGACAAACGCAACCCCCCAACTCTCCATTTCAGAGAGAGGAGCTGGTCAAAAGTATGGCAGAAATGAGTGGTTCAAGGAATAGTTTTAGATACATGCAGGGACAGGGAATGTCTAAGGCTTTCATCTAAATTTCATATTTATCTGCTTGTTTAATACCCCAGATATATAAATATATGGCAAAATTTATAAAATAGCCATACTAATATCCTGTCTCCAGAATTGGTTTTTGCAGTTGTACTCTGAATTTGCTATTTTGTTTGTCTAACTACCTTTCAGATTGACTGTAAAGTCAATTTAGGACAGATTGTTTATATTTCTAAATCTTTGCATTTAGTTCTGATGTATTCTGTGTCCAGATGGAAATAGTGTATTTAAAATCTGTGCTCTAGACATATATATATATGTACATATATGTGTGTGTATATATATATATATCATATATACAGGGGTGTGTGTGTGTGTGTATATATATATATATATATATATATATAATGGGATTGTTTCAGTTTGGTTTAACATTTATGTACCTCATTGTCCCCTGCAGTTAAAACTGATAGCAAAAATCAAAAAGATTTTGTATATAAATGGAGTTTTCTTCTTATTTTCATCTTTGTATCCCCATTGTTTAGTATGTGGCTTGCATATAATGTATGCTTAATAAGTGCTTTCTGGAAAGTGCTTTAGGAAAGTTTAAACACAATTAAAAATTTTTTTTCTCATTTTCTTAGGATGGCTGGCTGTGGTGAAATTGATCACTCAATAAACATGCTTCCTACGAACAAGAAAGCAAATGAGTCCTGTTCTAATACCGCACCTTCTCTCACCGTCCCTGAATGTGCCATTTGTCTTCAAACTTGTGTTCACCCAGTCAGTCTGCCCTGTAAACATGTTTTCTGCTATCTGTGTGTAAAGGGAGCTTCATGGCTTGGAAAACGATGTGCTCTTTGTCGACAAGAAATTCCTGAGGATTTCCTTGACAAGCCAACTTTGTTGTCACCAGAGGAACTCAAGGCAGCAAGTAGAGGAAATGGTGAATATGCATGGTATTATGAAGGAAGAAATGGGTGGTGGCAGTATGATGAGCGTACTAGTAGAGAGCTGGAAGATGCTTTTTCCAAAGGTAAAAAGAACACTGAAATGTTAATTGCTGGGTTTCTGTATGTTGCTGATCTTGAAAATATGGTTCAATATAGGAGAAATGAACATGGACGTCGTAGGAAGATTAAGCGAGATATAATAGATATACCAAAGAAGGGAGTAGCTGGACTTAGGCTGGACTGTGACACTAGTGCCGTAAACCTAGCACGAGAGAGCTCTGCCGATGGAGCGGACAGCGTATCAGCACAGAGCGGAGCTTCTGTTCAGCCTCCAGTGGCGTCTTCTGTAAGGCCTCTAACATCAGTAGATGGGCAGTTAACAAGCCCTGCAACACCATCTCCTGATGCAAGCACCTCTTTGGAAGACTCTTTTGCTCATTTACAGCTCAGTGGAGACAACATAGCTGAAAGGAGTCACAGAGGGGAAGGCGAAGAAGATCATGAATCACCGTCTTCAGGCAGGGTACCGGACACCTCCATTGAGGAAACTGAATCAGATGCCAGTAGTGATAGTGAGGAAGTATCTGCAGTTATTGCACAGCACTCTTTGACTCAACAGAGACTTTTGGTTCCTAATGCAAACCAGACAGTAGCTGATCGATCAGTAGCAGGGGGTGGAACAGTGAGTGTCCGATCTAGAAGGCCTGATGGACAGTGCACAGTAACTGAAGTTTAAATAAAGTCTTCAGCTCCTTGCTCAAGGTTGCAATGGTTATCTGTAAATTTCTGCCCACATAACATTATATTCATCCCTCGTAGTGCATTTTGGGAGTTGGGGTGGGAAGGGGTATGGGAAGGATAGATCTGAAATTAAAATGTCTTAACATGTCACTGTTGAGAAATTTATTTAATGTAAGGAGCTTGGGTGTTAATAGTTGAACGCTGTTTAGTAATAACCCAGTTTTCTTGAGGTCTGTTTATAGTTTTGTGTTTTTTAAGTTTTTTAGTTCTTTCGGCCAGTTTGTGTATTACCTGTGCATTAATGGTCATCATCTGACTCTTTCATTATCTTACTTTTCTGCATGGATTGGCATAAAACCATTACTAAAATTTGGCACCATGAGATGTTTGCTATCATTATGAACAGGAAGCTTAATATAAGATTAGAAATGAATTTGGGATTTTAAAATAGAAGAATAACGGCTATTTTATAGTAAAGTTACTGAAATGGAAATGTAAAGAAAACAGCTAATCACTTACATTTCAGAATCTTTGTAACACATTTCATGGCGTTCATTCCCATATGCTTTGCTGTCTAGTCTTTGTAGTTTGAGATTTCTCTTGGTCTGCATTTTTCTTTTTGATTACAAGATTTATAATTTAATAAATACTAGAGTTTATCAAATAATTTGTCTCTGGTTTGAATCTAGAAGGGGGATGGAAATATTTTGACATTTGTAGAAAAGGTAGATGATGGTTTAAATTGGTTGTACACAGCTTAAATGGTCATCTGCTCAGAAAAGTGATTTCCTCATAGGGAAAATTTGAACAGAATCTACAGGCATATATATGGAAGAAATATGTGTGGAAATATACCTAAAGCTTGTGACATGTACATTTCTTGAATACTTGATAGCATAAATACTTTATATCTTCCTTATAAGTCCAACACTGGATTACATGGCATATTATACTACTTAAAAATATCATTAGTAGACATGAATTCACATAACAAAATGCTGTAGTGCAGACCACTTTTGGGAGGCAGCTTTTATTTCTGTGGCAAAGTAAGAAGTATTATGTTAACATGGTTATCTATAATTTGTCTCTGAAAACAAAGTAACATGAGTTTGTTCTACCATATTTTCTTTTTTTTATTATTATTTTTTTTGACAGGCAGAGTTAGAGAAAGAGAGAGAGAATGGTCTTCCTTTTTCTGTTGGTTTACCCCCCAAGTGGCTGCTACGGCCGGCACGCTGCAGCCGGTGCGCTGCAGCCGGCGCACTGCAGCCAGCACACCGCGCCGATCCGAAGCCAGGAGCCAGGTGCTTCTCCTGGTTTCCCATGCGGGTGCAGGGCCCAAGGACTTGGGCCATCCTCCACTGCACTCCTGGGCCACAGCAGAGAGCTGGTCTGGAAGAGGAGCAACCGGGACAGAACTGGCGCCCCAACCGGGACTAGAACCTGGGATGCCGGCGCCACAGGTGGAGGATTAGCCTAGTAATAAGCCACGGTGCTGGTTGTTCTACCATATTTTCAAAACAAAAGAGTAGGATGTTGATAAAACCTATTCATTTTTACTATAATTCTCTAATATGACAAATATTATAGTAACAAAAACAGCAAAGGAGAATTGTCTCTGTTTTGAAATTTTAACTCATGATAGAATTCAGACTTAATTCTTTAACATATATTTTTAAAGATGTATATTACCAACATGATCATAAAAATTTATTTTTATTTAAAAAAGAAAAATTACCTATTTAAAAATTCAAATTGAAATGTGATATATAATGTGAATGTATATTATAGGATGCTTCATGAATCTGAGTAGTCTCAACATTAAATCTGTTAAGAACAGTAGTATACTAATTTAGGATTCTAGGAACACAAATGATTGGCCATTATGAATAGAAAAGTAATCATTGAAAAGATCAAGTAAGTAAGGCTCCAGATTCACAGGGTGTAGCGGGTCATACCATTTTTCAAAATGAAGGGGCATTTCCTATGACTTACTTCAGCTGCATAGGGAAAGAAATGACAGCTTTTCTTTCTTATTATATCTAATCCCTTCCCAGTTTGGTTCTCTAACTACAAAGTTCATTCAGTTACTTTTGTAAATTATTTCTAGGTAAGATCACAAAAATTTTATGATAATCCTAGGAACAGATTTTGTGTAGAATTAATTCCTTTTAAAAACTAATCTTTGGTTTTAAGCTAAGAACTACTCCAGCAATAATTTTTAAGCACATAAGTGGTATATCTTTTAGCCAATGTCCCAGATTATGTGTTAAATACCCAAATGAATATCTGGTGAGAACTAGGCCCATGAATATAAGTATTCAAAATATTACTAAAAACTAGTAGTAGCTTTCAAAGCAATTCATATATTCATATTCACGAACATTTAATGTTAAAACAATCACTGGAGTACATTTATATTTTTAAAAACTACTTATTAAATTTTCCTTTTCTAGCAATAGCCTCTAAATTTGCAGTTCCACCCCACACTGTTCCTAAAAGATCTCTTTCATTCTGTAATGCCTCTTCTAAACAAAGCTCTTTGCCTGAACAAACAGATTTTTTTAAAGCTCTAATTACTTCTGGCGGCCCATTGATAAATTGCTTTAGCCACCCCTGTGCCTCTTCTAGAGATTTAATTTCATCAGAAGACTGCAAGACCTCTTCGATCATTCCTATATTTAAAGCTTTTTCTGAATCCAGTTTGAGGGCCCCACTCAACACTTTGAGAGCTTGTCTACTGCCAATTATTTGAACGAGCCGAGTAGCACCACCCCAGCTTGGTATTATGCCCATCTCCTTGTGGACAAATCTGATCTCACTCTCTGGAGTCATTAACCTGCAAAAGAAGAAAGAAAAACATCAAGTACACATATATGCTATAAGCATAGTACTTCCCATTCATGATCTGATGAGAAATCCCCAAAGAACTTTACAAGTATATCTGTTAAAAACTCAAGTGTTTGTGGCCAGCATTGTGGCACAATGGGTTCAACTCCAGGCTGCTCCACTTCTGATGCAGCTTTCTACTCATGCGCCTGGGAAAGCAGGGGAAGATGGCCTGAATACGTAGACTCCTGCCACTCATGTTGCTGACCAGAATGATGCTCCTGGCTCCAGCCTGGTCTAGCACCAGCCAGTGTGGCCATTTGAGGAGTGAACCAGTAGATAGATTTCTGTCTCCCTTTAACTCTGCATTTCAAATAAATGAATAAATCTTTTTTAAAAAAGAAAGTAGCTGTTTCATCAAGAATTTAACTTCCCTTTAAAAACATAATTATGTTCTTTGTGTCTTCTTAACTTTGCAAATAAGATTCCAGTTTATGTTTCTGAAAGTCTATTTTATCATTCAGAGTAAGTGGTGGCCTAATGAGGAACTTGGCATCAGATGAAAGTATAGGAGTGGGAAATGTTAGGTGCATACCATAAAAAAAATGAAACGACTATGACTGTTGCTTCACAGGGAGCAAATACAAGTATTTACTAAGCAATACCAGGACTACATAGTGATCTAGATACTGAGGCTAGGGATGACCAAAATAAAACCTGTGTGTTCAGGTGCTTCCATTCCAGTCTGAAGAGAAATTAAGCAAATGGCAATGGCAGTAGGTGCTATAAAGAAACAAAGTTGGGCAAGGAACTAATGAATGCAGCTATGTGTGTTGGGGGATGTGCTTTTTTAGATGGAGAAGGCCTCTCAATATTTGAGCAACTACCTGACAGAGTAGGCACGGCAAAAAGCTGGGGAGAAAGTGTTCCAGGAAGAAGGACCTGCAAGTTCAAAGGTCATGACATAGAACTGCTTAGTATGTCTCGGGACCAGGTCAATGTGACCAGAACAGAGGAAGCAGAGAGCCATGGGGGATGAAGTCAGAGAGTACACTGAGAGGCCTTGGTAAGTTTAGATTTTATTTTTCAAGTATAAAGTTACTTAGAGGAGGTCAACTGAGAGATTTGTATCTGTTATTTTATAAAGGTTGCTCAGGTTGTTGTATGAGGACTTCTTTTTTTAAAGTTTTTTTTGGGGGGCCACACTGTGCCATCACTCCCGTTGGGTTGGAATTGTTGCAAGCTGGTGACTCCTCAATTATGGGATGTTGGGGGCTTCCTTGCCCCCTTGGTCCCACTGAGCAATGCGATAGTGAGGACTGTGACTGAAAGCAACTGATTGAAGCCAACATTGCAGAGTGAAAAGCATTCACCCCAACAATGAGACAGAGTGAGCAAAGTTAGATTGGTTGAACATGCTGCAATGGGGCAGCACGCAGGCAGCGTAGCCAGAGGCTGACTGCTGTCAGGTTTTTTTGTTGTTTTTTGTTTGAAAGCACAGAGCATGCACATGAGAGAGAAATCTTGCACTTCCATCTTCTGGTTTGCTCCCCAAATGTCTACAACAGTCAGGGCTAAGCCAGGCGGAAGCTGGGAGCCAGAGACTATATCACAAGACTCTAATGTGGATAGCAGGGGCCCAAGTATTTGATCCGTTACCTACTGCATCCCCAGGGGACACATGAACAGGAAGCTGGATCAGAATCAAAAGTGAGAATCAATATCAGGCTTTCTGACATGGGATGCAGGCATCGCAAGCAGTGGTTTAATCCAGTACACCACCAAGCCTGCCTCTGAAAACTTTTTATTCAGCATTTGATAACATTTTTATTCACTGTTTAAGAAATTTTGTTAGATTCTCAGAACAACCATTTGAGGTAAATTAGTATTCTCATTTTATAGATGAGAAATAGAACCAACAGGTATTCAACAGTTCACGTAAGGGATATTGCTATGGCACAGCCTTCACGTAAGGGCATATTGCTATGGCACAACCAGGAATTTTTTTTTTTCAAAGATTTATTTATTTATTTATTTGAAAGAGTTAAAGGGAGAGAGGTAAGGAGATAGAGTGCTTCCATCTGCTGGTTCACTACCCTGTTAGCTACTACAATGGCAGGAGATACTTCCTGGTCTCTCATGTGAGTTGCAAGGGTCTAAACGGTTGGGGCAACTTCCACTGCTTTTCCCAGCCATTAGCAGGAAGCTAGATCAGAACTGGAGCAGCCGGGACACAAACTGTTGCCTATATGGGATGCTGGTGTGGCAGGTGGTGGCTTTACCTGCTTTGCCAAAATGCCAGCCCCTACAGCTAGGATTTAAACCCAGGCAGTTTGGTTCCAGTGGTGTGAGCTCCTTCTTAACCTCATGGCATACACAGTCATTTGACTAGACAAAGGTGGAAGCAAGGATACCAGTAAGAAATTTGATAGTGGCTTGGATTAGATTGGTAAGTATCAATTTCCTTTAGCAGAGGTTCATTTTATCCAAATTGTGGATAATGCAAAGAAACTGGTAGGCACAGTAAAAGGTTACACACTTATTGGTTAAATATTTGTAAACTACCAACAGACTAAACCCTATACTGTTTAGGAATGTTGCCTGTGAATTGTATTTTGACTGCATGCCTCAACAAGACATTTTCACTATGTTAAAACTGAATTTGGATGGAATGTCATGTCAGAATCCTAAAACTAAAAATCTTGGTTTTCAAACTACTCATTACAAAAAATGCCTTAAATTAGTTTAGCTTTCCAAAGTATAAATGTTCAACTGCTGGTGATTTGCTTTTGTTATTACCACCAAGAACAGACTCAAGTGTTTGCCCATGTAGTCAGGAGAAATATTCCAATAGAAAATTCCTACATAAGCCTATTATCCACTGGGAAAATCTCCCTCATAGCTGTGAATTTCTACAAAGGAAAATGCACTACAATTATGAACAATTGCTTCCAGAGGCAAACAGCTACAAAAATAGAAGCTTTCAATGAATAATTTTTAAATGGGTAGGAAGAAAGAATAAGTCTCAGATAAGAATCAGTCTAGCCCAAAATTGTCAGAGTACTGCCTTGTTACGATGAAAACAATGTCAAAAGTTAATAGCATTTACAGGTAGGATGTGTAATAATTTTGGAGATAGGAAATTTTTTAATGCTAAATTCAATCCTGTAAAGTTTTCAAAGGAATCAGTTACATCTGTCATTGTTCCAGATTAAATCCTCGGAATTGATACTGATGTTGAGATCAAATTTTGGCATCTATTTTTTTTAAACCAAATTCTTTTTAAGATTTATTTATCTGAATAGCAAATGAACAGGCAGGGGGAGGGGTGAGGACAAAAGGAAACAGCCAGGGAGGGAGAGGAAGAGGGAAGCTGGGCCAGCCCAAACCAGGAGCCAGGAACTCCATCGGGGTCTCCCCATATGGGTTGCAGGAACCCAAGTCCATCATTCTCTGCTTCCCAGGCTCATTAGCAGAAAGCTGGATCCAAAGTAGAGGAACCTAGACCTGAATGAGTATTGCTTAATCTTTAGCATTACAAAACGTGCCACTAACTTCTACTTTTTTACAAATAATACACGTAGGTTGTGCTTTGTGCACTGATAGACATTTAAAATACATTAAATAAATGTGATAAAGCAATCTACTGATGGGGTGGGCACCGTGGTGCAGATTAGGCCAGCACTTGGAATGCCGACATTGCATATCAGAGTACCTACATGATTCTGATCCAGCTTCCTGCAAATGAGTATGGAAAGGCAACAAATGATGGCCCAAGTACTTAGGTTCTTGCCACTGACTGGGAAGACCCAGATGGGGGTCTTGGCTCCTGGCTTTGGCTTGGTCTAGCCCCAGTTGTTGTAGCTATTTGGGAAGTGAACCAATGCATAGATCTCTGTCTCTCTTACCCACTCTCCCCTCTCTCTGCTTTTCAAATAAATAACATCTTTAAAAAAAAAAAAAAGATGACAAAAGAACACATAATTTAGTCTAACAGTAAGAGAAGTAGACAGCATTCTTAGGATAACTTTTCACAAGATTCCTTATTAAGCTAGTAAAGTTTAACACAATTTTTAAATGCTGAAACTTATAAGATGTAATCTAGGGCTGGCACTGTGGTTCACTTGGTTAATCCTCCGCCTGTGGCGCCAGCATCCCATATGGGTGCCAGGTTCTAGTCCTGGCTGCTCCTCTTCCAGTCCAGCTCTCTGCTGTGGCCCTGGAAGGCAGCAGAGGATGGCCCAAGTGCAGGCACCCACCTGGAAGACCAGGAAGAAGCACCTGGCTCCTGGCTTCGGATCGGCGCAGCGCCACCCGTAGCGGCCATTTGGGGAGTGAACCAATGGAAGGAAGACCTTTCTCTCTGTCTCTCTCACTGTCTATAACTCTACCTGTCAAAATTAAATAAATAAATAAATAAATAAAAAAAGATGCAGTCTAATCAACAACCTATATCTAAAAATTGAAACTACTTCCTGACAGGTCTTACAGGATTATTCATCAATTCTGAGTATAGATTCTGTTACATAGTATTACTCATAATGTAATTTAATGCAAGGGAATTCTATTCATTCATATAGAGTACTGGAGGACCTGGCTTACATAATTTTGAAGACTTAGGACAGACTCAATTTCTGAAACCAAATAAAACTTCCTTGTTTCAACGAGTAAAAGGATTTGTACCTTCTGATTCTATTAGTACATTGATTATAGATGGTGTTCAAAATTTCCTGACATCACGGAGGAGAGGAGATGAAATTAACCAAATGTGGCTATGCTTCTTGTTACAGTCCAAATAGAACAATGTAATAGGCTAACTTACTCATAAATAGGGAAAGAGTATTCCCTTTGACAGGTTATGTAATGACGCATGTTAATGATTCCTGGAAGGATTGTTCATTGTTGGTGATAGCTGAAGAAGTGTGCTCCTGCTTTCTGAAGGAATTAACCTTGTTTCAGGTCTCTGAACAAATGTACACAGGGTGTTCAAAAAGTTCATGGAACATACAT